CCCCCCCCCCCCCCCCCCCCCCCCCCCTCAGCACAATGAACAAGCTGTCATTATACAGGCACGGCCAGGGCCCCGGCCCCCATCAAAATCCAGAGCGCGGGGAGCCGGTGATTAGCCTAAATACACATCTGTCCTTCCGTAGCCAGGAAGACGGTATCCAAGTGACCGCCCCCCAGTGGCGTTTGGAACTGCTGGATTTTGGGTAACTTTCGCTGTGACCTGGAGTGACAGGCATGCCCTCGCCCACCCCTTCCTGTGCCTCAGGATGCAGGTGCCGTTATTCAAGCGGCCCCCACTCAGCGCGCCGGCCATGCGTGTCTGCCATCCACATGCAGGTACTCGCGTGGGCGTGCAGAGGCCTGTTTTCTCTCCACTCGGTGTCCAAGACTCAGGGCCATGTCGGGCCATAAAGCCAATTCCCGTCCCGTCCAGCGATTCTGGGAATTCTGGGTAGTGCTGATCACAAACCATGCTGCGTTTCGGAGGCAAAATCTCAGGCATCTGAAACCTGACTCAGTGATATTTCCAGAAGCTTAAGGGTGTCAGGCCTTCTGTAGCCCTATTCTGAGGGCAGGGAGGGTTCAGGCATTGTCCCATTAACGCTGCCCCCTGATGGACAATCGGTTGAACAACTCAGGACTCAATGCTGACAAAGACTGTCTCCCCACAGAGATCGAGGAGAAAGGTGTGAAGATGAAGCTGACGGTGATCGACACCCCCGGCTTTGGGGACCAGATTAACAATGAGAACTGGTAGGTGGTGCGGAGACTGCGGAGTGCTGGCATTAACGCTTATGGGTGGGGGCCTTACAGGAACATATCAGTAAGACGGACGGGTGTCTCTCTCTGCCCCCCCCCAGCTGGGACCCGATAGTGACGTACATCAACGAGCAGTATGAGAAGTACCTAGTGGAGGAGCTTAACGTCAACAGGAAGAGGAGGATCCCGGACACACGTGTCCACTGCTGCGTCTACTTCCTGCCAGCCACGGGACATTGGTAGGTGTGAAGCCTGCCCCCTGGAGGCCATGGTCCACACTGCAGCCACAAACATGGCCCACTTGACATGGTGACCTCTGATCCCGAGAGAGGAGCACTTGTTGCTGTCGCTCAGGGCAACAACTCCCGTCAAACTCTGATCCCACAGCTCCAACCTGACGACGTCCTTGTTGACCGGCAGGGTCAGTGGAAGAATGAGGGGTTAGAAGGGGCTAGCCTGGGGCCAAAGGTCTCAACCGCTTGCCGCACTACTAAGATGTAATCAATATGATGGATGGTCCGGCTGACCGATGCGTTATAGAAACATCTGGAAAACAGCAGGTCAGTCTTGAGGGGTCAGGTGTTGCCATGTCTTTGGTCAGGATCTGTCTGTCCCAGAAAGAACAGCAGGTCTGCCTGATGAGTTCAGTGGCAAATCTCAGCACTGTGATACCCCCTGCCGGCAGCTTCCATTAAACCCGAGAGCGTATAGCGACACTGTCCTGTACTGTACTGGCCCACACTCTCAGCATGCGAGGGTCCCCGCCTCACTGCAGCCTCACTGCAGCCTCACTTATGATTTTGTATAATACACTTATTGGGCATTAACGCATTAAACTTAAATAAGGAATCGGAATGCAGGAGAAAATCTACAGCAGTTACTTTTCAGCACAAGTTTATAGAATCATACAGCGTGACGTCTATCCATCTATCAGCACTTATGTACTGCGGGCGTGGATCCTGTCCCAGGAACTGCAGGGCAGGGGATTCCCTGGATGTGAAGCCAGTCATAATCTTATAAAAATCTCATATTTTTACAATAATACAATACTGAAAACCCGTGACACTGTGAGGATTTACATTGGAGACTTCTGACCGACCGCATGTGAAGCTTAGACCGCGGTTAAAAACGTGCCGTGACCACGACCGTGACCGCAGATTCTTCATTCGGTCGTGACAGGAATTCAGAGGTCAGCTCGCAGGGAGCGTGCACCACAGGTCATAACTCTGTCCCGCCTGCAGGGACGTATGAACTTTCTTTCCGTAAATAAATCTTCCCGGGCCGAAGCGATGGATATCCGTCTTCCATCTGACCTCCATTTTCAGGCCTCCCAGAGACAGCGTGTGGCTCGAGGCAGTGATGCAGAGAATGTGCTAGAAGGGGAGTGTGTAGCAGTGGGTGAGGGGGGGGGGGCGGTTTGCGACGGTAAAGACTGACGTGGGGACACGTCCAGGGTGACAGGACGATGAGATTGCAGGCTGACTCTCTGCCCCCCCCACCTCCCAGCTTGCGGCAAATCGACGTGGAGTTCATGCAGAGGTTGGGGACGGTCGTGAGCATCGTGCCCGTCATCGCCAAGGCCGACACGCTCACCTTGGAGGAGAGGCTGGACTTCAAGGCCAGGGTGAGTCATGTGACCGAATAAAGAAGAAAAAAAATAAAAGGTAAAAGGCATGCCCTCGATCCTACAGCCATCCGGCGCGGACGGGCAGGTGGACCTTCATGCAGGTGCTAGAGCTGCATGTGATGTTGTGTTATAAGCAGCTCTCAGCCCCACAAAGCAAATACCAGTTTCCACCAATCATCTGGATGGAATACAGATGGATATTTTAATTAATCGACTCGAAAAGGGCAATTTCCAGGCCTGGGATGTTCTACCTGCTGCACCCAACAACATGCAGGGATGTTCAGTTAGAAGTAAATTAAAGGCCTTTCCTGTTTATTCTATACAAAACCCAGCCATCCATCCATTTTCTGTAACCGCTTCTACTATTTAGAAGGCTACGGGCACGAGGTTGGGAACAACCTAGGATGGGGGGGCCAACTCATCGCAGGTCGCACTCACCAGTCACTCACACAGGCACACCTACGGGCAATTCAGTAATTCCAATTAGCCTCAGCATGTATTTGGACTGTGGGAGGAAACCAGAGCACCCAGAGGAAACCCCACGACGACACGGGGAGAACATGCAGACTCCACACACATGGAACCCTGGTGGAGACCCGAACCCAGGTCCCAGAGGTGTGAGGCAACAGTGCTGCCCCTGTACACAGCCCAGGTGAAGCAATCGGGAATGTAAACACCTCTGGGCCGGGGGCTTGGGGGGGGAGGGGCGTGGGTGGTTTGAGCCCTGGCGGCTCTCTTAACCCCACGACCCCCCCACCGCTCACAGCACTAAATACCACAAGTGGGCAATTATGCTGGTACAAGAGTCAGCTGGGTGCCGCAGAGGGGGCGATAAACTGGACACCTGCACACACTGTCAGAGAGGCATCTGACACCTCGGCTTACCCCAGTGGCCATCTCTCCAGGGGCATTCTGGGTAGTGCAATTTGTAAAAGGCCCCTCCGAATGCTTACAAGTTCCTCTTTCAGTGTGGAGCTGTTCGCAGCATTGGCTCTGGTGCAGTGGGGAGGAGGGGGTGTCAGATTGATCTCAGATCAGCTCTGGGTTTATTGTATTTTGGTGCCGCGATGCTGAAATGTGACACTGAAAGTGTACAGGGCACAGTCACGCCATTCTGCACACGATCCCATTACAGCATTAATGAGCGGAACGCGGTCTGGGGGCAGCTGCCCCTTTTCTGCTCACGTCCCTCTAATCCTGCAGGAATGCGTAGAACAGGGGTGGGTGGGGGATCACGAATTAAAGCCCTGCAGTTCAACGTGAAGCAATGTGTTTGCGGGGAAAACTAAACACATTTCCTCCACCACAGATAAGACAGAACATGCAAGATCATGGGATCAGGGTGTACCCACAGCGGGAGTATGATGAGGATGAGGACGATGCACTGCGCAATGACAAAATCAGGGTAAGCAGTGCCTTGGGTGTAGTGACTGTTTGTGGCCAACAGGGGGCCCAAACCTTAGGGGCTCCACTCTAATGTGTGATTTGAGTGGCGGTAAACACTGCTGCTTACCCTGACACGCTGACCTCCGGCCCCCAGGAAAACATCCCGTTTGCAGTGGTGGGCACGGACAAAGAGCACCAGGTCAACGGAAACAAGGTCCTAGGAAGGAAGACCAAGTGGGGGATTATAGAAGGTGCGTGTTTCTAAGCGACCCTCTGCCTGGTGCCACCCACACAGACCATCTGTCCCTACGGCAACAAACTGAAGGGAACCCCAACGAGCACCGTGAGAGCCAATCAGCAAAGCTAATCAAACTACAGTGTCCACAAGTTACCAGATAACCTAGAGATTCATTAATATATGAATAAACAGAGGTCTTTGCAGGCAATTAAATTTCAAAAGCTTTTAAAAACACTCCCACACCAGAGGTGAAACACTAAACCCTACATACCCGTTGGCTTTCAGCACAGATTTTCACTAATTACTATGAGCAATGAATAAACTCTAACCACAGTTTGAAATGTTCATATAGAAACAGATAATTTGCTACCAATTATTACTGTCACAAGTCATTTAAGAGAAAATTAAAAGACTAAAATTGTATCATGCAAACAATTTTGGTATGATTGGGAGTCCTCAGTTCTTGGCTGGGAATATAGCACACTGGCTGGGATCTGGCACGTCTTGACTGGCCATCTCTGGAGCAGAAAGAAGATGATCGCCCCCTAGTGGCTCAAGGGTTTCTTCTGTTCAAAAACCTTTCTGTCACAGCAGTGTAGCACATAAGCTATATACACAGCCAGGGGCGCCGTAAGGGGGAGGAAAGCTAGGATGATTCCAAGGGCCCCTGAGTGACAGGGGCCCTAAAAAATTAGGAAAATAACTGGATTGGTTTGGACTGGGGGGCCTAATATGATATGCTTTCATGGGGCCCAAAATCTCTAGCAACGCCCCTGTACACAGCCATCATATATGTGTATGTGTGTGTGTGTGTGTGCTTTAGGAAATTAATGTTTAAATGTTTCTCCTGATCACCATTTTTCTTGCTTCTGCAGTTGAGAATGTTGCACATTGCGAGTTTGCCAACTTGAGAGATTTGCTCATCAGGTAAGGCTGATGTAGGGATGGGGTGTAGGATTGGTGTTTAACAATTAAATCAGACTGTTCATCTCCCGTTGTAATATACATTAGCTGTATTTTTGTAACTTCATCTGTCATTTGTCCTGCACAATATGGCATTATGTGCTTTTCTGTCTTCCAAACTTTTACTGTGCATCTTGGACAGTAGCACAGGGCATAGGCAGGATGCTGCATAAGACAGGGAGACCTCTCACTGCCCCAACTGCGGAGGAGCGAAACATCAGTGCTAACCACTGAGTCACTGTGCCACCTTATTATACGTCTGTGTGTTAAACATCAGCATTTTTTCCCCCCTCTTTCCAGATCCCATCTGCAGGATCTCAAAGATGTCACACAGAACCACTACGAGGAATACAGGGTCAGGAGGCTGAACGAAAGCAATGCCCGAGGGCTAGAACTGTCCCCGGTGAACGGCTACGTGGCGAAGAGCGATGCGGAGAGCCACCTCTGAGCAAGGAAGAGGAGAAGAGGAGAGGAAGAGAGGAATGGAGGGATCCAGCGTGATGCTTAATGCCCGCCCAACACATCTGAAAGGAAGAAACTGTTCAAATGCATTGCGCCCCCCCCCCATGGAATCTTGTTTAATTTCATTTTTATTTTTGTAGACATTATTTTCAAATTTTTACTCCTTCAATATATAAGAATACACATATTTTGGATATTACGTGTGGTGAAATTCACCAAAAGGTCATTATCTTAGAATTGTATACTGAGTGAGAAAATCGAGTTAAAAAAAAACGCGTTAAAATGTGTGCAGCGAGATTATTTTAATAGATTACCGGATTAGTTCATAAACTAAGGGTCCATCGTCACAAAGATCATAATCCCACACAGAACGTTCAGACCGTTGCGTTGGCTTTCATTCCGCCTTTTTATCAATGAAAAATGTGATGTTTTGTTCAGTTTGCATTTTAATCGCGATTTATTCAGAGTTAAAGTTGTATGTTGCAAAATGTTTGTGTTTATTTGTTTCTAATCTTTATACCCACTTATTTTTAACCAAATGGAGACGCTGGGTCTGTTAATAGATTTCCTCAAGAAGATAGCAATAATGCTTCAGCACCGGGACTGCTACAATAAGACTTTTATACAGCGCTAAACAATAGTCAGCTTCTGTCTTATTTGCTTTACTATTTTTTATCGCCACTTCTTGGTCAGTGTTGACTGCAGTTTTACGGGGTAAATAAACAAATAGGCTCACTAAGGTTTGTATATAAAACTCAGTTTGTTAAATACGCATTTGTTCATGGTCAGGAACATCACATAGCCTAATAATAAGCAGCCTCTATGCATTTCCAGAGGAAGTAGGTCTGAATCGATATGAAGCGTCTATAGACACACGTGTGCGCGCACGGCACGGCCAGAAGTCGGCCTTAAGGAGGGGAAACCCTTGGTACAAATCATGGAAAGTGGACGTAAGTAATGTTCAAGTGTCGCCTTACCTGCAGGTGAGCATTAGTGTCTCCACTGCGCGCATGTTGGGGACGGCAATATGCAGCACCGAATCTCCATTCCCACTGCTAACTCTATTTTTGACAGCTAAATTCAAGTAATTTCACATTTTATAGAGATTAATTACAGCGCTGTGACGAAGGATTGATGAGCCGCAATACGGCAGCCGCAGAGGCTCAAAACACCATTTTCGGTGTTTTGTGCGGTGCCGCCGGTAAACACCTGCAATGTTAAACGTCATGCTACAAGCCCGCTCGTAGATATATAAATTTATATATATGGGTGTAATTATGATGTACATTTATTTTTAAATCCATGGCATCAAAAATTCAAATTAAGAATATTTGCAAAGGCAATTAAAGCTTGAGAGAAAATAAGGAAAAGTTATGTGTATCAGAACACAAAATAAAGAAAAACGCAAGAAGGCAGACTTGTTTTATTTACATCTTTTACTAAAATGGTGCTAACGGCAATCAGACCATTTGAAACCGACAATGCTTGTCTGACAAGGCACTGCAGCCATGGAATAATAAAATTAACAAACAGGGTTACTGTTAAATGAAGCTCATCACACTGCTATATTTACAGATAAGGGGAAAATAAGGGCCTCGTTAAAGCAAGACGGCTTGACTATTTTGGCGCTTTTCCACTGCCACCAAACCTTGACCCAGCCCTATCACGAACTCGCTTTTTTCCACCGTAAAGTACCCGACCGGCACCCCGGCTTGAAAGCGTGCCCAACACCAGCTGGTTGCGTCATCACCATCTAATTGGCTGAAACGCACGGAGACAGCAGTGTTCTGCGCAAGTATTATTCGAAGAAAATAAACGGCGTAATGTACTATAGAACAGCTGAACGGAATTGATTCGTAAATCAAATTCACGCAAGCAAATTCTAATTCCGTTAGCTAGTATTTGATGTTACCATAACACGGCGATTCTTACAGATGTGCTAGAAAATTAGGAAATTAACACAGTAAAAAATGATGTACGCCGTGTGACTTCACTGTCGCTCTCCAAACCCAGCAACGCCTTTACCAAATCGACCCTTCTGCAGTGGAAAACCGAAGCGAGCTGGAACCCCGCTGTAGCTAGTCCGTCTTCGCGGTTCGACTGGGGTTCGGGTCGGTTCCTGTATGCCAGTGGAAAAGCATCATTAGACATTTTGTCAGCGTGCCAACAGAACTATTATAGACCTAACGTATAACCAGTTAACGGTTTGAGCATCCGTTGTGAAATAGCAGTAGACCTATATAACGTTTTTTCTGTTTATTTTTTATTTCTCCCCTGTGGATCTAACAGAAAACCCACAAACAGCCCAATTTCAAGTATTAGACCACATTTCTTTTATTATTAACTGCTCTTTATTAAGGTTCGTCTTGCTGCAATCAATTAAGTCCCTATCAGCTTCTACAGGATGAGAGGCTTCTGTAGACCTATTTGTTACATCTCGTTTTCTGTAAGGAGGTGAGACATGTAAACTATTTTTGTCACATACACAATTGAAGATGGCACTGGTAATGCCTGCCTGCTCATCTTGGAAGAAGTTTTCACACCTTCCACAACGAACCCGCAGGGGCAATTGTATTTAATGCTTTCTTATTCATCCCGTCATCATGGGGCTGCTTAAGCTGTGCTTTATACAAAACAGTGATTTCCCAGGTATTTTCTCACCACAAACCATTGAGTGCAAGTTCTTTCATTTTTAAAACTGTAATTTATTTGTTGTTGTTACCATAGACTATGATATTCTTAATGAACAAAATTCTGGAAATACAAGTCGGAACCGATACAGGTCCGTTAAGGTTATAACACTAAGGAACAACCCGATTTTGCAATTCTGCACTATTGAATTCTGCCGTTTCGTTACGAAAGGGATTTATTGAACTTCCCGTTAATACTGCCTTTTAATCGCCCTTTCCATATGCACAAAACAGCCATAACAGGTGCAACAAATTTATGTTGTGATAATTTAGTATTTTATCCCTGCACCGACAGGCTCACAAATATAGTAACAAGAGTTATTAAATGGCGCTGTCATTCCGCCCGTCCGTCACCGGCCCTACAGAGCATGATTTTAAAAGCGCAGCATACAGAATCCCATAATAGTTATAAAACCCGTGTCAATGTAAATGTCATTTTTTTCTTCACGTGTTAGCAATTTATATGCACCGTGTCTCCGTAAGAAATATTAACAGGTTCATGTAGCCTATATCCCCCGCACGAATGTATCTGGGTGAATAGCAAGTTTGCTGTTTGGGCTCCAGTTAAAGTCTCGATCCCAAGTCCAATTTTGCCCGCAGTGAATAGACCAGGAGGCAATAAATACCTGAAACACTGCTCATGCTGGCAAGCGTGCGGTTGTTCAGATTTGTCTCCAAAGCATGCGTGATTAAATGACTGTCTTGGTCTCCGTCCAAATCATTTAAACCACCTCCGGACCAACGGGCACAGCAGCTATTGCGATGCTGGTGCTGACTCAAAATCACGCCACCCGGTACTTAGTAAACTAGAAAAGCGGCCAGATCAGGCCGAGCCCGTCACGGACCACAGCTGTCGGCAGCTGTCCACCGCTGGCCCCTCTGCTCACGTGACCAGCTCCAGCTCCATCTGTTTCTCATCTGATAAGCGACCTGAGACAACGATATCTTCATAATGGACTCTGATCTGTTGAATAATCTATGGTCCTACTCAAAACACCCATATATATCATTGGCACCATAGCGACAGGCTTCGAGCATATCAGTTTTAAACCTCAGCATATAGTCTTCCAGCAAGACAACACCCGGGGCTTAATTAACACACCGAAATCTATGGGGCAACGTTACTGTGCTAAACTTACGCTTGTTGAAGCTGCTCTTGTACACGAAAGCACATTTCTGGACCTCAGCCAATAAACATATACATTTGTTCATAAATTAACTGAACAACCGCACTCCGACTCAATAACAAGTAAATAAAAAGAGGAACTAATTGCTTAAAATATAAGTGCCGAGACAGGTGTTTAGGTTAGCCAGGGTGATACTCAGTGTAAGCCGAGCTGTCACTTCAAAATGAGATCCATCGGGAGTTCTGCCTTTTTGTCCAACCACGGCGGTAATCGAAGGAAGGATTAGCCACACCAACACACTGGCAGCCTCTAACAGCCAAGTTATGAACCTATAACCACTGCCACCACAAGGGGGCGTTATGAACCCTTAATATATCCGTGGTCAAGAGATGCGTCTTTTACGCGATTCATAAATCAGTCAATAAATAAATAAATACATATTTGCAAGTTATAGCGATCTCTTTTCAAGAGTTAAAGCTGTACATTCAGAGCGGAAGTAGCTATGAGCTGTTTGAGAGTAACGGCATGTTTTTATTTGATATATAGTTTATTTCACAGCAGCTGTGTTTCAGACCTTATTAACCCTGAAGGAGGATTTTCTCCTGTGACTCTGTCACCGGCAGGCAAAGTTCAGAAGGATAATGTAAACGTGGCCCCCACTGAGCTCCTTGTCATGTGTAGGGAGAATCTGTCGTACTTGGCCTCTCATGTAACCCCCCCCACCCCATGCGATGGGGGGCATATAGAAAAAAACACAGCCCATGTCACAGAGGCAGAGGAATCTGGGCTGAAAGCTGGTGTCCCTGGAAATAAAGGGGCGACACAGGGAGGAATATGAAAGCGAAGGAGCAGAGACACCGGAGATCAACAGGGGGTAGAAACGACAGATAGGGAAAAAGGCAGATAAAAGGGAGGGGAAAAGGGCAGAAACAGGGGAAACAAATCAGGGGTAGTTACTGTCAGAGGACAGCAGGGGGAGCTGGAGTGGTCTAGGGTACAGAGGAAGCGGTGTTCAGGCACTCAGCAGGGGGGGGGGTGTCATCGCCAACCTCTGCGCTTGCGCCTCCTGCTGTTAACGAAGAGGAAGCCGGTCTGTGCACAACAGCAGCCTCATCATCCACCTGGGGCTGCTGCAGTGAGTGCTTCCTCCCTCTGCGGCCCTCCCCCCCCCCCCCCCCCCCACTGGGGGCGCTCACACGCTTAGCCTGGCCTCTGCCCTGCCACGTTGTCCAAGCCGCCATTTTACGCTGGTAACCGTACAAGTAAACACAGTGCATCGTAGGTAAGACTGGAACCATATCATGTTAAATGACGTCAAAATGAGCTTAAGAGAACATTAGAAAGATAATGGCGCAGAGATAACTGTATGTACAGGCCCTCATGACCATAAATAAGATCCAGTCAATAATCTGTCAATCCTGAAGCCCCCCCTCTGTCCGCCAAACTTCTGATAAAATCCTCCCCACATTCAGCACCCATATCTTGGCTCGGATTTCCTTTTCTTTCAAAAAAAAAAAGCAAGATTTCATGGCCATCTGGCTGGGTTCATCAAAAAAAGTAAATAAATAATTACATATAAAAAATAATGTTAAAAAATCTCCATGACGATGAGCAGGTTGGCGTGCAGCTTCGGTGCAGAATGGAGTCACCTGTTAATTCGCTCTTCGAGTTCCGGTTTCCTTTCGCATTTTACAGTAAGGTATGGAAATGGGAAACGTCCGTGACCCCCCCCCCCAACCCCCACATGATGATGTCACAGGAATCTCTAGGCACCATCTTCGCTGCGAAAAATGTTACAAAACCATAGGGTGGCGCCACACCGCAGCCAAGGTTCCGTTGCATTTGACCGGCGGCGTGCCCCGGTCGTCATGTGAGCGATGCGTTAATCCCTGCGCCCTGCATGCCGGTTCCCGAGTAGCGGCTCCCCTTCGGCGGGCCGCCCGGGGCTCTCCCTCGCGCCCTCGCCTCTGCCATCCACGCCGCCCTCTTCCTCGCTCCCCTCTCTCTCACATCCCTTTCAGGCTCTGGATGAAATAGGTTAGTCGGGGTTCGGTTTTTTTTTGCGGTGAAAGCTTTCCGGTGGGTGAGCGCGTGGCGCGCCCTGCCCCCCGCCCCCTCTGCTACTCGATGACCATGCAGCGCGGCAGGTGTTGGGAGAAGTACTTGAAGAGCTCGGCGGTGGCACCTGGGCAGTTGGTCAGCTCCAGCTCCTCCAGGTCCTGGAGCTGAATGAGGCCAGATAGTCCGGTGGTGGTCAGCAGGGGGCAGCCTAAGGCAGCGGAAAGAGCATAGACATACAGTGCATTCAGAAAGTAAAGTACTGTAAAAGGCTGTGAGGCCTTTTATAAATAGGTGTGTGCCTTTGCAAATCATGTCCAATCATGATATTTGATATTTCAGTTTTTCCTTTTTAATAAATTTGCAAGAAATTCTGTAATTCTGTGTTTGTGCTGTCATCATGGGGTACTGAGTGTAGATTCATGAGGAACAAAAATGAATTTACAAAATTTTTGCATGAAGCTACAACATGACAAATGGTTGAAAATTGAAAGGGGTCTGAATACTTTCTGAATGCACTGTCTATTATTTACAGTGCTCACGGAAAGTTTTGTTTAATCTTGTAAAAATGTTGCAAATTTATTTGTTTCAACACAAAAGTCCATTGACAAGCAATGTTTAACATATCTACACATATTCTCCACACAGACATTTTCTTGGTCACATTATACTAGGAGACACAAATAATATAGTATTATGCTATTACTTATCTATTAATTAACCACAAGCTAAGTGTTAGTTACAAACTGATGTCATGTTTGTTCATCATTAATAAATCATGGTGCAACTTGTAACCCAAGCAGTTACTATATCTGTTAATTCTGTAAACCTTTGTGAACTACTGAAGGAACGACTAAGGAACTAATAATAGATACTTCATTGATCCCTCAACTTGTTCTTTGTAGAGTAAGCTGTCCGTGAAGGGCAGCTAACCCATAGCGGTGCCCAGGGAGCTGGGGGTTAAGGACCTTGCTCAAGGACATGCTGAGGCTGGGTTTGAACCAGCGACCTTCTGAGTACAGACACACAGCCTTAGCCCACTGAGCCACACACTGCCCACAACCTGCATCTCCTACTGAAGGAACAAGTCATGAATAACACAACTGACTTACCGATCATTTTTCATCACTGAATCGTGACGCATCATTTACCTCATTTAGCGACTATATTTATTCATTTGTTCATTATTTGTATTTCAGTAGTAACTGAGTTACTACTGTCATCTCAATTTTCTTTTCATTAACTGTCAATTTTATTGACTGAAGCATTCAGTTCTGTTTTTGGCATTTTTCTATTAATTGCAGTTGTAGTCCTTGACTCCCATAGGGATACTAAACACAAATGTTTGATGTTATGTTTTATGTTATGGTGTTACTAATTAAAAAGCACCCAATGAAACTACTCGTCAAGGAACTTTTTAAACTCAGAACAGCTCATTTAGAGCTATAATTTGGATTTTGATTTATTATTACTTGAAATGAACGTTTTACTTAATGCTACTAGTTTTAAAAGTGATATATTTTTGCAAACAAATGAATGAAGTAAAATGTTTTTGTTATAAAACCGATAAATCTGATATATTTTTACCGATTTAAGCAAACATGCCAAGACTTTTTTTGTGAGCATCATATGTTGGATTTTTGATTTTTCAAGAATAAATCTGGTAAAAAATTGTGGCAAGAAGCCAAAATGAGAAGCAGCCATAGTTTGGGAGGGACACGCCATGACCAGCGTCCGACTCCGGGGCCCGAATCCGGGGCCCGACTCCGGGTCTCACCTGCCAGGGACAGCAGCCGCAGGTTCCTCATGCCAAACAGGTGCTGCAGCCCAAAATCCTGCACCTGCGGGGGGGGGGGGAGACGGAACGTCAGCGTGTCTGGGCCTAGTGGAGCCAGGAAGGAGTCGGGGATGGATTTAAGAAAGCAGCAGGATCAAACCAAAAGATGGGTGTGGGGATTTAGGAAAGGGTGGGATTGGGGATCCGGGTCGGGCCTGTGATGACAGAACCCAGTTTTAATTGACCGGTAAAAAGACACAAGGGACAGCGAGTCGCCTGTCCCCATCTGGGATATGCGCACATCCCCCCACCTCCACCTAGACGGCCATGCAGTTACACCACAGCATACCTGGCAGCACCACCGCAGGTAGAGGCTACGTAAGGAGGACATCGTGGACAGGTACCCCAGGCCAGTGTCGGTGATCCGGACGCACCTGCGGGGAGGGGAACGCAGGGTCTGGGCAGGCCGTGATCCTCGAGTCAGGTTCGCGAGACCGCCCGGGTCCGGCCCGCGGGGGTGACTCACCGGTCCAGCACTAGCTCCTCCAGCCGATGCAGGTCGCATGCGATGAACTCCAGCGCCACGTCGGTGATGCGGGGGCACCAGGACAGGTCCAGGCTGCGCAGCTTGCGCAGGTTCTCGGCTACCAGCTCCACGCCGTCGTCGGTGATCTTGGAGCAGCCGGACAGGCTGAGCTCCGTCAGGTTGGGCAGGCTGTGCACCATGTTCACCACGCCGTGGTTGGTGATCTCCCAGCAGGAGTGCAGGCGCAGCGTGTGCGTGGCGGTGCCCTGCCTGGCGGTAAAGTAGGCCATGGCCGTGTCGGTCACGTGGTAGGCCTGCAGGCTTAACTCCGAGAGGTTGGGCAGCAGCTGCGAGACGGCGGCCACGGCATCATCCGCCACGTTGATGCAGTCGCTGACGCTCAGGGAGGTGAGGCGTGCGTTCAGGCTGGACCAGAGGCCTGCCTCCGTGAAGTCGTTACAGCCCGACAGCTCCAGGTGCCTCAGACCCTGCATCTGCTCCAGCATCACCTGAACGGGGCGCCAGGGTCACATAACTGCTCACCAGAAAAGCTGGAAACAAGCAAGCTTTGTCGCACCAAGCAGACAGGCATTTAGCAGAAGCTAACAAACACCAGCTACTCCACGGGCCGCAGCCTGACCCCCCCAGGCAGCAGCAGTATTTATCACCATTCAAAACAAGGCCACAGACAGTCACTAAACTAAGTGTTAAATAAACATGTTCCTTATTTAGGAGATACTGAAGCAGCATGTTCTGCTAACACAGAGTTGCCAACTCTCACCCATCTGCCGTGACACTCACGCTTTCACACTCTCACGCTCATGCAAGAAATCTTACGGCAAATCTATATTATTCCATTATAAACCTAAAATTAGCTACATCAAAAGCGTTGGGGGTAGTTTGCAAGCCCTCCAGACGATTTATAAGGTAATAAAACTGCTACGTACATGTCAATGAGTGTGAAGACTTGGTCTCGAATTGAAAATCTCACGCCAGCCAGCCGACTAAAGTTTGCAGCTCTGTGGTAACCAGCTAGGTAGCTACAATCATCTGACTCTACTCGCTAGCCGAGGTTAACGTTACACGCGAACATGAAATGATCCTATCCCAGCGGCACCATGAAAAGAACAGAAATGAAAGATTGGAACTCACCAACATGACACCTGATGAGGATGCAGTAAATTTACCAAAGAGATGGTGGGGGGGGGGCTAAAATGACTTTTCAATTGACGCTTCGGACCCATGGATACAGGAGGTCAGGAGGAATGTAGCTCAGAGCCCCATGGTGGGTGGGGCTATGACACAACACCCATCAGTGACCTCATTCCTAACGTGGGCCTATTGCCAGACAATGTGAGGTCGCAGCCTTGCCTCAAAAGTAAGAAAAATCCTGCTTTTAATCCAGCATAACTGAGGCCCTTTACTTCAGCTGATACCAGCAAGCACTCAGTCGGTTCCCCTTCCAGCACCATGGCCTGAAACATGTTTCTGACAGACCGCTTTCCGGTTGGTTCTCCTTCGGCATGATGCGGTTTGTCCTCACGCAGCTTCGGAAAAACGGTCCGGGGGAAACTCGGCATCGTGACCTGGCTGAGAGGCTCGCCGATTATTTATGAGGGCATATTTCACTGCAGGAATCTCTGTCCTTAACCAAAAGAAATGACCCTCAAAACTCAGGAAATCTCCGTCCCCCCATGACTGCGTGGATTTATTCTCGTCATATAAAGACAGGCATTTTCTGGGGCTGTTTTTCCAAACTCCTGAAATGACCTCGTTTGTTTTATTTGCTGTCAAGGGCGGAGCCTAGATATGATTAACCTCTAGTGACAATGTCATCAGAAAAAAATTAAATTAAATTAAAATTGAAATTATTAAAAAAAAACTTAATTACAGAAGCTTGTATATCAATGCATCACATTATATAAAGCAAATTACTGGAAATACAGTGCATTTATCTTATGGTATATTTTAATTGTATTTGATTAACTGACTTTAAAAAACTAATGAGTGATAAAATCACCTTTGCAGCGTAATTATATTAGATTTGATGTTTTGTTAAATTACGGAACTGTATCTATAATTTAACTTACAAAAGAAGACCATGATTAACAGTGTAAATCAACATGATTTAATATGCATGTTTAATTTTGAGTCATGTTGGGTCATCACTGTTCTCATGAACATTTGGGATATTAAAAAGAGAAGCTGCTTGTGTCCTGGTTGGTTATTTAAATACTAAGCACTTGCAGAGGAGGTGGGTCCAAGCAACAAGAGGAGGTGGGACCAACCAACCAGGTGTCTCGGTCCCGCCTCCTCTAGTTGCTTGGACTCATCTCCTCTATAATCTGATTGGTTATGTCTGTGAACCAATCAGTTTTCCTTCTGCCCTCAGAACAGTTTTGTGTATGTAAAACTCCCATTAGGGTTAACATGCTGGAACATAGAATGTTCATGTAGATTAATGGACCTAATACAGATCCTTGAGGTACCTGAAGGGTTGTCACGCTGCTGCTGTATATTCATAGTGTAAAAGACCTGTTTTGGAAGCTGAGGAGAAACACTTTGGCAGCTGATGTACATCCCAAAGCATAGGAAATAACTGTGTCTATGCCACGGGAAACTGAAAGAGATCACACAGCTCCCAGTCTTGTTTGGTCAAAGGCCTAAAAAAGGCTTGATCCAAAAAATGTCAGCTTTTCAGCAAATTAAAAGTCTGGCTATTTGATTTACGGTTACGGTCACTGTGATTATCCAGTTATTATCCAGTTCAAACACATGGGTGAACCTGCTAGCATCACAAGGTAACACAGCTTTATGTGAAACTGTGCCTCTTGCTATGAGTAGTTAAGGCAAGTCCAGAGAAGCCCATCTCAGTTTGAGGGTAGAAGGACACTCTGACACAAGCCTTCTTAGCACAGCATCAAAGGTCCCAAATATTGGTATCTATTAGCAATATTAGCATTTTTATTGGTAGTAGATGTCATAGCATCAGGCATTAGCTTTAACATCTTAGGATGTTACGCTAAACATGTCTCTGATCCCTTTATGTGTCTCGTACAGGAACTGGTAGGGTAGAATAACCAAAACAGAATGGTAAGACCATCCGGCACATGACAGAGATGAGGCCTACTTTGCTCACAACCGACACATGGAGTAAATCTTGACAAATATGGCAGACCTTCAGGAGGGGTCTCTAAAAGACACCATCAGACAGTTACCTCCAGCCCTGCGTCTGTGATGGTGGACCTCTTGAGGCTGACAGACCTGACGCCCTTCTTGGACAGCGGGTAGTTGTCAATGAACTCGCAAATATCCAGGTCTGAGACGCCCACCAGGCAGAAGGCCTGAAACCCGCGCAGGGCAAATGTCTGCAGGTTGATGAACTCCTTATCGCCCCCTGGCAGCTGGTTGTAGAGCTCCTTGGTGTGAAGCACAGGCGTAACCCCCTCCCAGAACTTCGGCTGGTACAGAACCTTGCGCCAGGTTTTGCACACTTGGGCCAGAATGCACTTCTCGGCTGTGGTGAAGTACCACAACAGCCGGTCCAGAACTTTCTCATCCAGCGCCAGCTGCCACTCCTGGGGGGTGGGTCTGGGGAACTTGCGGAGCTGGTGGGGGTGCTCCGAAAGGTCCGGTCCCAGCAAGGAGGCTGCCATCGGTGGGGCCTCCATGCGGTAGGGCAGACTGGGTGGGGGCAGGATGGTGGGTGCTGCAGAGGAGGACTGGCACAGGCGGTTCTTGGCTGCAGGGGTACCCTTGGTGATGCTAGCAGAGCCCAGGCCGTTGGGCTGGGGGGGCAGTTTGACCATGCCGTTCCTTGTGACACAGGCAGATTTGAGCTCACTGGGGGTGGACATGTTCAGCATCTGGAACTGCAGGGGGGCAGAAAGAACATCTCTGTTAGTGACAGGAATCAAGCTTAACATTGTTACACAATAATAAAAACAATAATCAATTATCATTAGCATTATTAGCCCAGAAGCACAATTTACAGGGACTGCAGTCCAAATACTCAGTTAATTACAAGGCGAGTTAAGCATTATGTTCAGGTGATAAGTTTCACACTACTAAGCGAACTGGTCCAGCTTATAAGCACGCTAACGCTGCAGTGGCACAGAGATCCATCCTCTCTGAATCTCAAAAGGTTTGTAATTTCAGTTTCATTTTACCAGATTGCAATTCATAATTTTCTCCACGCGGTGGCAGCACACATGAGCAAAAAAAAAAAAAACAGCCATTATAAAATTAATCGGAAGAGGTATGTTCATTTTCTCGTGAAAGAATCGCAAGGGTGTGACGTTCGTTGTAACCGAATACATAATTCGAATAATGTATTATTTGAGGTACACAACTCATGTTACAGTTACTGATCTTAATGTATTTCTTTATATAATCAGCTGATTTCTGATGACTTTTCATCGATCACATTATGACTTTTCAAAAACCTGAACATCTTCAAATCTTGTTTTGCTGTTTAAAGAGCGACAGTCCTGGATGCTTTTGGGCGTAGTCATTATGATCAGCCTGTTCCATTTCATTTTCCTACCAAATGACTTGGACATTTAATTAAATGAAGATCTGTATGTCATGCATCTGTCTCACTGCTACCAAAAAAACTACCATTACCTTCCTTCCATCCATCCATCCATCCATCCATCTTCCAATAGTTTATCCTGGACAGGGTATTGGGCATGACAAGCACTACATAATATCCAGCTGAACTACTCATGGTTCAGTACTTCTTTAGTTTCAAGTACTCCCCAATGAAAAGCACAAACCTTGTATAACTAAACCAAAGTCCACTCTGGTCATAACCAGCCTTTGCATTGCTGTTGCCAAGGTAACAGAATTCTGAAGCGGCACCGTGGTGCTGGGAAGGTTTGGCCCGGTCTGCTAAACAGATACCAGCCTGGAAATGCCAAATCTCTGGGAAAAGATTTAGTGTCCCTTCAGTCTGGACACTGGTGTCACATCCACTGTCATCCTGTCTGATTCTGGTACAGAGCGCAAACAACACAAAATGGTAATCTGTAACAAGGTGATCCATTTTCCATTCCCCCTTGTCCTACGCAGGATCATCGAGGGTCTGGAGCGTATCCTGGAAGGTATGGGCACAGGGCAGCGAAGAACCCAGGACAGGGTGTCAGTCCAATGCAGACACATATATCTTTCAATATAAACTAAATTTAGATCATGTTAAATTAAAGGGAGTCAAGAAATCAGGGCCGTTTTTTCATAATAGAGAGTTTAGTGAAGAAATGCGTTTCAACCAAAGAACATCAAGGAGCATCCTTTATGTTTATGTAGCTGGATTTTGAAGTTATTCCCTTCTAATGAACAAGCATCTTTTTCACACTGCACAGTTAATAACAATAAGTTGCATCCTCCAAAAACCCTGCCAGTGTCTCGCCCCTTACAGGCGTTCTGTTCTTTAGACGTCAGCCATCCTTCGGCACTTTCAAGATCAACTGTCAGGCGCTGGTACGTCCTGCAGGGAGGCAAAACTCGGCTCCTCTCGCTCCGTATCACCCACCCTCTCTCGTCTCCTGGCAACCCGTGCTCGGCCACCGCGTCATTTCCACCGGAGGGCGCCGCGTGACATTATGACACGCTCCACTGGCTTGCGAGGCCAAAGTGAAAGTCACAAAGTGTGGCTTTATTTACCAGGACAGAACAAACAGCACCGCAGAGTAGCTCATAAACAAACAATCCCGATCGCTCAAACGTGCGAAATGCGCTTGTTTTTAGTGCTGGTACACTGCTAGCACACTGAGGTTTATTCATAGGATTGTACATGACTCCTGTCTAGCGTAATTGTAGCTGTCTCTGTAAACGAAGCTTCGCAAATGTGAGAGATTCACATAACGGCAGACAACAAGACCCTACATCCCCACGAAAAAACGGCCACGGACGCACAGATGTGACAGGTCACATATTTCCCTCACACGCACTTGCGTGTCTGCTGGTAAAGGTATAAATCACCTCGCTAGAGATGCTGACAGGCCCCGATAAACGAGCACAACCGCTTCAGAGAAGCAGAAGTTCAGTGCATCAAACATCCCACACGCTGAACGCATTAGCTTTTAGAGGTAGGAAAATGCACCGGGAGAAATACTCCAACGCCCCCGCGAGTGAAAACGCACCACAGCGCAAACCCACGGTCCTGCTGCGTTATTCCGCCCACGAGAGACGGCGCGCGGATAAACCGTGAGACGCAGAGATTAACGAGCGAACAGAAACGCGTGGTGGTGAGGGGGGGGGGTTGGGGGTGTCTGCGCTATTAGAAAAAGCCGCCCCTCGACTTCATGCTGCCCCGATGATGTGTTATTGATCATTCCATTTAATGATCCCAATCCCAGTCATCTGTTCCCAATCCCAGTCATCTGTAAAGCCTGCCTTCCCAGGTCACCAGGGCCACATGCTCATCAGTCATTTTATGGGTCAGTCTGTCACCGCGGTAACAGATCTCATTTTCATGGGGGGACATTAGTCTGGACTGGAAATCTGCATATTGTTTTTACTCCAGCTGCATTCTGCCCTCACAGGGCATCAGGCACCTACCATACACACAGTCATCACTGACTCGCACGACGCCTGGCAGAGGGGGTATCGATCTGGGACACGATTACATTCCCAGGAGTGGTGGGGGGGGTGTGTGTGGGGGCGGGGGGAGATTACAGTTTTCTCTCTTTTTGTATTCCATTACTATAGCAGATGCTTTTATTCAACGTGACATATGAGTAAGAAGGTCAGACAGTCCCCGGAGCGGCTGGGGTTAAGGCCCCTACTCAGGGGCACCATGGTGGAATTACTCTGGCAACCCTGGGATTGGAACCGACAACCTTCCAATCACAGGCACACCTTTCACCCCTGTTATGGAGGGGGTCGATTACACTGTCCCAGTAACTAATTCTATATTAGTTACTGGTGCTTCAAGTGGTTTGAAGCACCTTTGTATGGAAAGGAGGTACAAAAAATTTATGGAATGAACTGGAACTTTTTTTTTGTTTTTAATCGATATAAATGACTGAATCTCGTTTTGTAGCAAGGGATGTGCTTTAGCTTAAAAAAAATGTTCTCACAACTAGATAAAAGAGAGGAATGATTTGTGGTCAGCGATGTTATGATGTGAAGGTCAGCTGAATGCTGGATTATCCTCCTGCCCAACTAGCTGGAAAATGAGTAGAAAATGTGTCTGGGTTAGGGGCTGGTTGCTATGCGACTCATGGCGACCGAACCATTACATGACTAAAGCAAATATTGACCCGTCAAACTGAAACCGAGATCCAGCTCTGGGAATTTTATGGTGCAACCTTGTTAAATGAAGGCAATCATTCAGGCTGTGATGCAGAGACCCAGTGGCCTCACACCGCCAGGGTTGTGGGTTCAAATCCCACCTACACTCTGCATATTGAGTTTGCATGATCTCCTTGTGTCACGCAGGTTTCTAGGTTTTAGGCTGCAATCCCAACACATGCATTTAGGCTAAGTGTCAATTCTGAAATGTCCGTAGTGTATGTATGAGCCCTGTGATGGATGGAATCCCACCCAGGGTGTCCCTTGCCTCCCTCATACCTCGTGCTGCTTGGGATAAGCCCCAGGTCCCCCTCTAAGGCTGTCTAGGATAAACGTTCGGAAGATTTATCCTGTGACTCTCTGTGACACAGTCTGGGAACATAACTTTAACGGTTGTTTTGTCAACAACGGAAATTTTCAATAAAGTGCCCATGAGCAGATGAAAAACACAATCGCACCTGCAAATTCATGAGTTTCCAATGCATATTCATCACTTTGGAAAAAAAAAACGTGTATAGTACAAGCTTCTGCTGATGTTTTTGCCCGAAGAGACTTACAGTATGGATGACGAGTCAACAGTTGCAGTAACAGAACTTGGAGATGCGCTGTTAGATCCTGGAGATACTATGCGGTTATGTACTCAACCTAGCAAAGAAAAGGGTAATAAATGTGTCCAAAACAGATTAAACATTAAAGTAGCATTTTAATGCCAAGGAGTAACATTTATTTGTGAGCTAGGAATAACCAGCCAATCAGAGGGATGGTGATGGTTCATGTCTGATGCAGGTCTCCTCAGATGGGTATAACACACGACATGACATCATGCCATGTCAAACCTGAGATGGGGAAGGGACACCAGGAGCATGCGGAGTGTATGCCCCCCCGGCTGGACTTTAGCACCCACACCTGAACTGTTCCGGCATGATGTCGTAACCATGTTTCCCTGGTTACAACTATAGAAGACCAACCGCACACCATCCAGACCATCCAATGTGACATTTACTGATCAACCAAAGCTAAGATTCACATTATTCCAGTTTTCAATTTCCTCTCGACTTCCTGAAGTTCAGGAACCACCAGCTGACCATCTATCCATCTTCATATGATAACTGTCTGTAATAACTGCTTACTAAGCATGTGTGATAGGAACCTGTCCTGGGAAATTTAGCCATTTTAAGTCTTAAAGACCATCTTCAATCCATCATCCATCCATCTTATAACCACTTATCCTGGTCAGGGTTAGAAATGACCCAGCATTGGCTGCCGGATGATTAAGGTTCTCCAGCTTTCACTTTTCACTTTCAGCAGCTGGAACTGAGCAGTGTGACAGACGTTTGAGTCAGCATGTTTCTGCGAACTGACCTGAGATCAGTTTAGGGGCACCGGCCCGTCACTAGTCTCACATTCACTGGGTCACTTTTGTTTAGTTTAAGTGGTGCATAAGTCTTATAAATAAGTCACCACCTCACATCCATGTGACACAGGGAGAAATTCAAACTCCACACACGCTGAGCAGGATTTAGACCCACAGCCCGTGCAGTGACAGTGCTTACCCACTGAGCCACCATGCAGCCCA